TTTGACCTACAAAATATGGAAAATAGGAGTTGAGAAATACAGCATTAATTCACTTGACATAAATCAGTGAAATTCAGTCAATTTTACATTGAGTTTAGGAGGAGGATATGATAATTAAAGATTAAAGTTAATTGCAAGAGTCCTGGAAAAATGGCATGTCTTTTCAACTGTTAATTTTTTATAAACCAATGTGCATGCTTCATTTTTAGTAAGTCAGTACATTATCAAGTAGAAAAGTTCAACTATCAAGAATAGATTACATTTTAACATTTTGATGTACTTCTTTTTGTTGTGTCTATATTAATAAAACATGTATTATCAACATGTATGTACTGACATTTTAAAAAATACATTTTTATGGATTTCAGAGAGGAAGGGAGAGGGAGAGAGAGATAGAAAAATCAATGATGAGAGAGAATCATTCATTGTCTGCCTCGTACTGGGGATCAAGCCCCCAATCCAGGCATGTGACCTTGGCCGGCATCAGACCTGGTATTCTTCAATCTGCAAGTGTTACTCTGTCCACTGATGAAACCAGTTTGGGCTGTACTGACATTTAATAAATGCTGTGTATCTGGAATCCCATCATTTTTATTTACTCTGAAGAACTGATATTAGGATAAAAAATTTAGTTTTACTTTTTAAAATTAAAGTATAATTAAATTCAGTACAGTCAAAACATTGTGCCTGGCTGGCATGGCTCAGTAATTGAGCAAAGGTCTATGTACTAGGAGGTCAGTGTTTGATTTTGGGTTATGTGGGCTCAGTCCCCAGAGTGGGTATGTGGGAGGCAACCTATCGATGACTCTCATCATTGATGTTTCCATCTTCCTCTTCTTTCCTCTCTGAAATCAATAAAAATATATTTAAAAAAAATATATTGTGGCCGAAACCAGTTTTGCTCAGTGGATAGAGCATCGGCCTGCAGACTAAAAGGTCCCAGGTTTGATTTTCCGGTCAAGGGCATGTACCTTGGTGGCAGGTACATCCCCAGTAGGGGTGTGCAGGAGGCAGCTGATTGATGTTTCTCTCTCATTGATGTTTCTAACTCTATATCCCTCTTCCTTCCTTTCTGTAAAAATCAATAAAATATATATTAAGAAAAAGATATTGTGACTATATTACTAACTAGAGGCCTGGTGCATGAAATGCGTGCACGGGAGGGGGGTGGCATTCCTCAGCTCAGCCTGCATCCTTTCCAATCTGGGACCCCTACCTGGATTGGGCCTAAATGGACAATTGGACATCCCTCTTACAATCCAGGATTGCTGGCTCCCAACTGCTCACCTGCCTGCCTTTCTGTTTGCCCCTAACTGCTTCTGCCTGCCAGTCTGATTGATGTCTAACTGCTCCCCTGCCAGCCTGTTTGCCCCCAGCTTCCCTCCTCTGCTGACCTAGTCACCCTTAAATGCCCTCCCCTGCAGGGTTGATCGTCCCCAACTGCCCTTTCTTGCAGACCTGGTCCCTCTCAACTGCCTCCCTTGCAGGCCTGGTGCTTCCCAACTACCCTCCCTTGCATGCCTGGTCTCTCCCAACTGCCCTCTCCTGCTGGCCATCTTGTGGCAGCCATCTTGTGTCCACATGGGCGCAGGATCTTTGACACATGGGAGAAGCTATCTTGTGTGTTGGAGTGATTATCAATCTGCATATTACTCTTTTATTAGATAGGATAGAGGTCTGGTGCACAAATGGAGGCCATCTGGTTCTCCCTGAAGGGTGTCCTGGAACAGGATGGGGGTTTCTTTGGGGTGTGGGGTGGCCTGGGTAAGGGGCCTGTGGTGGTTTGCAGTACGGCCATGCCCCTGGGTGACTCAAGTGGAGGCCCTGGTGTCTGGGATTTATTTATCTTCTATTATTGAAACTTTGTAGCCTTGAGGCCAAGGCAGGCCAGGGCAGCCAGAAAGCTTGGCTTCCGCCATTGCCGGGGACAACTCAAGCCTCCTGCTTGCTCTGTGTCCGCAGCCATTTTTGTTTGGATTTATTTATTTTCTATAATTGAAATTTTGTAGCCTTGAGTGGAGGCCTGGCCCTGCCAGGGTGTGCACAAAGCTTGGCTTCCTCCATTGCTGGGGAAACCCAAGCCTCCTGCCTGCTCTGTGACTGTAGCCATCTTGGTTGGGTTAATTTGCATTCTTGCTCCTGATTGGCTGCTGGGTGTGGCAGAGTGATGGTTAATTTGCATATTAGTCTTTTATTAGATAGGATTTCAGAATATTTTCATCACCTAGATGGGCTCCTCCTGGCATTCCTCTGCCTGCATCAAATTCCACAAATTCTCCTTAAGAATAAGTTAGAATAGTTGTAGGGTTCTTTTCAGGAACTTTTTTGTCATGTAAATTTAAAACTCTATACCATACCAGTGAATTACCTCATGGCAACCACCATTTTACTTTCTATTTGTATGAATTTAACTATTTAACTACTTTAGATACCTCATTAACTTAAATCATACAGTATTTGTCTTTTTGTGATTGGCTTAGTTTATTTAGCTTAATGTCCTCAAAGTTTATCCATGTTATAGCTGGTGATAATTTCCTTCCTTTTCAAGGCTCAGTAGTATCTATCCCACTGTATATATATTCCACATTTATTTATCAGGCATTTGGGGTGGTTCTGCCTCTTAGCTACTGGAATAGTGGTGCTATAAACATGGGTGTGTAAATATCTCTTTAAGACTCTGCTTTTAGTACTTTTGGATATATATCCAGAAGTGGCATCACTGGATCATATGATAGTTATAGTGTCAATTAAAAAAAAAAAAAATATATATATATATATATATATATATTTTATTGATTTTGTACAGAGATGAAGGGAGAGAGATAGTTAGAAACATCGATGAGAGAGTCATCGATCAGCTGCCTCTTGCACACCCGCTACTGGGGATGTGCCCACAACCAAGGTACATGCCCTTGACCGGAATCGAACCTGGGACCCTTCAGTCCCCAAGCCGACGCTCTATCCATTGAGCCAAACCAGTCTCGGCTAGTGTCAATTTTTTGAGGGAACTCCATAGTGGCTTCAACATTTTACAATTCCACCAACAGTGTACAAAGTTTCCGATTAAGTTTTAAGCTTATGTATTTTATGTCTACTTACTTTTTGGTAAATTAAGGCAGTGGCAGCTGTGGTGAAGGGACTCCTTGGAGAGAATCATTCTTGATATTGGGTCTTTGTTAGAATCTCTAAGTTCTATTCTCTTTTAAAAACTTTGGTAAATATTTTCTTCAGCTAGTCAGGAACCATATTTTATTCCAATAATGCTCAGATTATTTCTTCAATTCAGCATGAAGTCTGGAAGCAGAAATAGTCTGCTATTTTTATTACTCTACACATTGAAGAGGTAGAAAAAGAAAGACAAGAATAACCAGTGTGTTTGTATCTCTCTATATTTGAGTGTAATAGTGATAATTACTAAGACTCATTTTACAAGTAGAGCTTGGAGCTGAACCCTGCTGTGCCTTTTTGTTTTACCAGAATCTTGATAGCTTGGCTGTCTATTTTAAAGCTTATTCATTTGTTTATTCCTTTTTATTTGTTTTGTTTGCTGATAAAACTTTTTTTTTTTTTTTTGCCTTTTTTAATGTTTAAAGAAAAGTATGTTTTTGCTTATTTTGTCAGGTAATTTGGGAGGGAAATTCTGTGATGTCTGCTGTCTGAACTTGGAAGGCCACTTAATTTCCATCAACCCAGTTTTGTAAAGAATAATTAATTGAAACCTATTATTGATACCACTTCATTGGCTCATAAAATTCTTAGATAAATGTATTTAAATTAAAATACTTCAGTGAACAGTTTAAAAGAATGAAAGTGGTATAATTCATATCAAGCATCTCAAGTAATAAAGTACTATATAAAGATAAAAAAAAAGTTGGGTTCAAGACAATAATCATAAGTGTCTGTACTTAACAAAACACATATTTGAAAAAGAAATTAATTGTAATAGTTTAATAGTTTTTTAAAACAAAATATATTTGTCCTAAATCAGTATGTTCTTTGTAATATTAGATGGTTATATGTGATAGTATATTGTCATGAAATTATTTTAAAAAACCCATTTAGTTTCCTAGAAAGGATATGAGGAAAGTAAAGTAATTTTAGGCCCTAGCTGGTTTGGCTTAGTGGATAGAGCATTGGCTTGCGATCTGGAGGGTCCCAGGTTTGATTCTAGTCAAAGGCACATGCCTGGGTTGCAGGCTTGATCCCCAGTATGGGGCATGCAGGAGGCAGCAGATCAGTGATTCTCTCTCATCATTGATGTTTCTATCTCAATCTCCCTCTCTGAAATCAATAAAGATATTTAAAAAAATTAATTTTAGGTCAAACCTATTATTAAAAGTTGAAATTTTATAAACTACTACATTTATAATCATTATAAATTACTACCTATAATCATTCTTTAGTATCCTTTATCTCTTTTCTGTTAGAGTGCAGAATTTACATTCTTTTCATTTAATGGCTGTCTTATGTGGTACTATGTTCTTTTTCTCTGTTCCCTTTGATGATAGTGGAGACATTTGGAACCAAGAAAGACCACATGTGTAGTATGGGGATTGTATCTCTTATAAGGGTAACATTTATATCTACAGATTTTATGATTAAATTAATTGGTATATAGCAAAATATAAATCGATAATGATTTAACAAACTATTTTTAAATGTCCCTGATATTTGGCATTTAAAATTTGTACTTTTTTATTCTAATAGTTGCTTAGTAAATTCAAACATAAAACAAAACATAGCATAGTAATTCAAATATAAAAATATAATGAGCAGACATTGTAATATCACTTCATTTTATACAGAATAAATTCATGATGGGGCTTTTTGGGATGCTGACAATATTTATTTAATCTGAGTATTATAAATGTGCCCATTTGAAATTTTATCAGGTTGTATTTTGATGGTTTATGTACTTTCTGTGTGTCTGTTATGTTTCAGTCAAATTAAAGAAATTGTTGTTGAAGAATGAAGAAACTTTTCTTTTTTTCTCTTTTAAGGAAATGATTATTGATAAAGTAAATGGACAAGCTGTACCTAGATATTTGATTTACGACATAATTAAATTCAATGTAAGTACCTTTTATAATTTCTAAATGATTGTCACTGAGATAATAGATGTTTTTAACAAATAAAAAGTATTATTGCCTAAGAGTAAGAAAGAAAAATTGTGACCTTCAAGTTACTCATTTGTTTTTTTTTGTCAACACTTGTACATTTTTTCTTCCCTTACTGCCTAATACTTTGCACATTTGTCTTTAGATTAGTTATTTCAAGTGACTAAAGAAAAACAGTTTAGCTGTGTAAAACAAGATAGTATATTGTAAAATGTTAATGAGTAAATCTAAAAACAAAATATAAAATCTCCTTTTGTGAATAGATATAAAAAAAGTGAAATTATATTTAGTACTACAGTTTTAGACTTGCCAAGAATCAATTGCCTGTTAATATTTAATTCAGTGTTGAAATTATTTAGACAGAACAAGATGAATTCTATAAATGGAAGAAATTCTTTCAATAGTGTACATCTATGAAAAGGTATAATTATTGTTCTAGAAATATATTATTCAGATTGCATAATTATTTAGTATTCCAAGCAGACTGAAAGCAGTTAAAAAAATTCTGGAATTAAAAGTGTTAAGTTTTAAGATTTTGAGGATTTATAATAAAAGTTCAAAAAACCCCCCCTTTTTTTGGGGGGGGGTATATATTTTAAATGGCAGTATTAAGATTCAAGATTATATTATATATTAATCCAGATGACTTATTTTCCCCAGGAAATTTTCAATGTCTATATATCTCATTTGTTGTTGAATTATGTATATTTCAAACTATTTCAAACCTAGGAAACTCAAGGTCAGAAACCATCAAGTTTTAATCTTGTTCTGTTTGTGGCTACTGTATTCCTCAAAAGTAATGCTTTCCAAAATTGACTTACTCTTACCACAGATCTTGGAATGGTGTTCATTGGCCCCTAACGAGACAAAGGGTGGGTGTGGCTTTGTTTCTTTGTGAATGGGGGAGTGCTATCTCCTTTGCCTCTTGATATTTAGCTCTGCTTTAAAGTGTGTCCTGTACAGTCTCATCTCTTAGCCTGGGAACTTTGTCTTAGACAATAGCCTTCTAATTCTTAAAAGAAAAAGAAAGTTTTCGGCATATGTAAAAGTATACAGAGTAATATAAGGAATACTATGTACCTACCACTAGATTTGTTGAAGCTTAACTGCCTTTTCTACTCCACTCTCCTTTTAATAAGAAATAAATCATTAAATGTATAGTATCAGAAGTTTCTTGTGTACCCCTCTGTCATCTTATCCTTGACCCTCTTACCCAGCAGCAATAGCTCCTACCCTGAATTTGGTGTTTATTATTCCCATGAGTGTTTGTGATACCTTTACTATCAATGTTTGTCTATAAAATACATGTGGTGTTCTTTTGTAGGATTTCTAGTGTTTCATAAATGTCATAGTACTGTACTGTAGTACACAACATTTCCTCCACATTATTTTGTATAGATTTATCTGTGTTAATGCATGTAGGTTTGGTTCATTCTCTTTAATTACTCTTAATTATTATCATATATTGTATAACTGTATGGAATTTATCTTTTTTCCTCTTGATTAACATATGGATTTCCATATTTTGCTGTTAAATTATTGTATTGAATAGTTCTATATATTTTTTTCCTTATGCACATGTGTCAAAGTTTCTCTAGGACAGTTCTCATTCTTGCGATGTGGTCAGCCAGGAAGTGTTTAAAAAGTCCAGTCCCTCATTTCCTACAACATGGAGATTCTAATTAATTTATCAACTTAATTAAGCTTTATTAGCTGTCTTGCTAAATTCCTTTCAGAAGTAGTTGTACCAATTTATCACAGTTTATTACATACCTATTTTTTTTTTTTTTTTGCCAAATGGCTATGTGTGAAATGATATCTTGTTTTTAATTTGATTTTTTCTAATTACTATTGAAGTAAAGCATATATATTTTTTAAAACTCTTATTTTTTTATTTTTATTGATTTTGTACAGAGAGGAAGGGAGAGAGATAGAGAGTTAGAAACATCAATGAGAGAGAGTCATCGATCAGCTGCCTCTTGCACACCCCCTACTGGGGATATGCCCGCAACCAAGGTACATGCCCTTGACCGGAATCGAACCCGGGACCTTTCAGTCCCCAAGCCGACACTCTATCCATTGAGCCAAACCGGTCCCGGCTGAAGTAAAGCATATTTTATGTTTGCTTTTACTTGGTTGGATGTTTGTGATTTAATTATAAATTCAAATGGTCTGTTCTTTTAATTTTTCTAATTGGTTGCCAATCATGCTCTTCACAATGTATAGGAATTAGTTATCTTTTCTGTATTTTAATTCTTTTTTGGATATAAATGTGGCAAACAATATTTTTTTCATATTAGTATCCATTGAGCCACAGAAGTTTAAAAAAAAATTTTTTTTCAAATATATTTTTTATTGTTGATAGTATTACAAATAGCTCCAATTCTCCCTCCCCCCATTCACCTTTATCCCAATCCTTACCTCTCCCCTGGTCTTCACTACCTTATCCATGGGCTATGCATATAAGTATATAAATAATAAAAACAATTAGTGAGTATATTAATACTTTAATTCAGATGTGAAAATTTTGGATCAGTTGTGGTGATCCAAATCTATTAAACTAGTAGATTTATAATGTTTTCCCATATTATTTTATACATTTATAATTTTGAAATAACTGTGAGTGTGTGTGTGTGTATGTGTATGTTTAGATATGCTTCCATCATTAGTCAAATTAATTTTCAGGGCTGGCATGTGTGGTTGTGCAGGCTCTATATTGGAGAACTCCAAAGGATGTAATTTACATAAACTACTATGTACAAAGTGAAAGCCTTGATAATTATGCTGATAAATTAGTTTTTAGAGTTGAAATTTAAATAACTGTCTCATTTAATTCAGGCACAACCAGTTGGAGATTGTGATTTTAATGTTCGTCTTCAGTGTATAGAACGAGAAATAATAAATCCTCGACATGAAAAAATGAAGACTGGGCTCATTGACAAAGCACAGGAACCATTTAGTGTCAGAAATAAGCCATTTTTTGACATTTATACATCAAGAAAGGTAACATTTTTAAAATAACACTTATAATGTATCCTAATTTAACTCTGGAGAGGAATATGAATGATATTTTTGGCCTAATTGTCTTGATTTCCCCTGAAATTTCTTGAATATTGTACTCTTTTGGTTAAACATGTACAGTTAACAGGTCTCCTCATTAGTAAGATTCTCAGTGACAGAAACTTAAACTTGTTTTCTTGTTTCTCATAATAGTTTTTGATGCATAGCTATTATGGCTCATATTATGTTTTTTGAAAAGCTGTAAGCTATGTAGAATTATATAAGAGTGAAAATAACTTGTCAGGCCTTTTGAAGTCAGCAATTTTTAGTACATAGTCTTATTTAAAGTAATCATTTACACACACACACACACACACACACACACACTAGTGGCCCAGTGCACAAAATTTGTGCCCATTAAAAGGGGATTAATTAGAAGAAATATTTTAATATTTATATTCTCTATAATAGAAGTGTCAGAGATGAAAGAAAATTAGTAAAATGTATATGAAAATCTCCCTCCTGTCAGAGTCTTGGGTGCGCCTACCTATGCGGGACCCAGAGTCAAGTCCCTGCCCACCTGTGTGTGCCTCAAAATCATGCAAGACTGAGACCTCATTGGGCGAGACACAGACCCAGCTGGCCACACCCCATCAAGCCCCGCCGGGTGGGGGTGCGGCCTCAGGTCCCCCCTGGCCAGGTGCCACACAGCCTCAGGTCCCTGCTGATTGGTCCTTACGGCTTCATGGTGTGATGACCATTTGCATATAGCCTTTTATTATATATATATATACACACACACACACACACACACACACACACACACAAACACAAACACACACTGCATATATACATGGAAAGTTTTCTTTATTTTTGTTGTTTGGACACTTAAAATGCATCATATTAAATATTTTGGGACAGTTTTTGTTTGTTTGTTTGTTTTTCACTTAACAGAGTGGCTTAAACATATTTCCGTGTCAGTACATAGGGATTTGCAACATTATTTTTTAGCTGCTGCATAATATTTGACAGTAAAGATGCACCATGAAGTTATTTTGGGGAAGAGAAATGGTTATGATAAAATAATATAGGAAATATAGCAACTTATGCAATTATGTTTTAATTTCCTTTCTAATATAATTTTGTAAGTTAGATGATAGAATTTTTTGTTGTATTTTACCTGCTTCTACTCATGTCTGCTCAATTTGGTATTTTCTTCTTGGATATAATGTTAGCAGTTATTCCAGCACTATTGAGCTTTTTTCTTCTCAATATATAAATATATTGCAGAAGAAACAAATGTAGAGTTATTATTTTTTCACTATTAGTTGCATAATGCCTTCTTGCATGGGGCTGTTGGTAGACTGCTGTCATCTTCTCACAGTACACTACTTGCCTTTTATGCCTCTTTTGGCAGCAGTCATATGATAAGGGTGCTTACAAGAGCCTGTACACTTTTGTGCTCTGCTCAATTGGTAGAATAAGGGTAATGTTGGCACTTAACATGGGCCACACCTTTGGTGGAAGTCTGCTTATTGGAGTTATATACTCTTGTGGAAATATTTTCTAAATTATAAATAGAGTGTAAATTTGGGCAAAAGCCAAATTGTTTCAGTTTGCATTTGCTTTTTAAAAAGTTAATTTTATAGCTTATGCCGTCTTAATTCAAGTTCAGCATTTAACAAAAATGTGTCTTAGTATAGTTTCATTAGTCAAAGTCAGTACTTAGAAATATTTGGCAGTCGATAATTATAAAAATTGTTCTTTAGGGATCTGAAGCAGTTGTATTGAACATCTTTCAATGTATTTTTTCATTAGAGAGCTGTGATACTCTTTCTTTTTTTTCTTTATTCTCAGCTTATATAACCCACTTTTAAAACTATATGATTTTAAAAAAAGAAGTCCTAATATTTAGAATTTTTATTATTAGTCTCATTTTTTTTCCGTTTCAGTTCTTACTGTTATTTCTTTGTTCTCAATTTCTCTTGAAATTGTTTTTGGTTGTAGAATACAGAAGGAAAGCACCTTTTACAGCAGAGTTGGTCTAAAGGGGAAAACTAGTAACACCAGATATGGAATAGTAGCTATAGTTGTCAGATTATTGCTCTAGGGAGTCTTCTTTTTGTTATGAATTTAAAAAATAAATTTATCTTTATTGTTGAAAGTATTACAGATGTCTCCTCTACCCCCCATTGACCCTCTTCACCCTGTTACTGCCCCTTCCCCAGGCCTCCATTGCAAAATATTATTATCTTTGCTAATGGGAATGGTAAATATTGATATTATGAATGATAAAGCCTTTGTCTGGGAAGTATGTATTTATTATGAGGGAAGCCAATTTTTATGTGGTTTTAAGCAGTTTATAACTGGAAAAATGCATACTTTTTCATAGACATTTCATTTATGTATACCTTTAAAATTTTGAAGATAATTTTGATTTTAGGACTTTATTAATATAGCTCTATTAGCCTTTTTCTTTTATGTAATCAGATCCATCAAAAACAGTACAGAGATAATGAGTTGTTCAGTGTTTAACTGAACATAGATAGTTATAATAAAGCATACAAAATAGTAACAAGAAGCAATTTCTCAAATCACAATTTTATTTGAATTTCTAGTTTGAAGGCCAATGAAAAAAATAATTATTTTATTTATTTATTTATTTATTTTACAGCTGAGTAGTATTCCATTGTATAAATGTATCATAGTTTTTTTATCCACTCATGTTCTGATGGGCAATTGGGCTGTTTCCAGATCTTGGCTATTGTAAATAATGCTGCAATGAAAATAGGGGTACATATATTCTTTCAACACTTATATGTGGAATCTAATGAACAAGTTAAACTGACAGACAAAATAGAAACAGAGGCATGGATACATGGAGTAGACTGACAGCTACTATTGGGGAGAGGGTTAGTGGACTGGATGAAAGAAGATGAAGGGATTAAGCAAAAAAAATCCACATATATTTGACACACGGCACAGACAACAATGTGGGAAAGGGAGTGGGGGGTTGATCCTTGGAGGTGGGCAAAGGGGGGAAATGGGGAAATTGGGGTGGAAAGAAACTTTGCTTTGGGCAATGGGCCAGCGATACAGTGTGCATATGTTTTTTGAGGCCTGTATGGTTTTATGAACCAATGTCATCCCATTAAATTTGACAAAATGACAACAACAAAATACAAATGGAAAATATGCTATAAGTTATATTAAAAAAGAAGAGAAATATGCATATATTAGTTCTATCCATTTCTTTTTTTCACAAGGATTCATTTCTTTCCAAAATTTTATAGATTGTCTTAAAAATAAATAAATAAATAAATAAATATATATATATATATATATATATACATATATATATATATATATATATAAAATTGATTTTTTGCAGAGAGGAAGGGAGAAAGAGAGCTAGAAACGTCGATGAGAGAGAAACATCGACCAACTGCCTCCTGCACACCCCCTACTGGGGATGTGCCCGCAACCAATGTACATGCCCCCGACCGGAATTGAACCCGGGACCCTTCAGTCTGCAGATCGACGCTCTACCACTGAGCCAAACCCGTTTTGGCTAGATTGCCTTTTTTTTGTGGCATGTTCTTAGAATTAATTCCTGATCTTAGCGTAGGGACTCTGAGGGCACACACACGCCCACATATACTTTAGGCATATGCATATACCCTGTGAGAAGAGGAGTGTGACTCACTAGGCTGAAGTAGGATGGGGCCTTTCTGGGAGAGAATGTAGAGGTAGATGTATTAAAAAGAAATAGTAAGAATTTTAAGTTGCACATAAGAGGTTAATGACAGTACAGCTGATGAAAGCACATATTCTTTAAAGGTATATATAAAAGTCTAGTGAACCATATAATTATTTGCTGCATTAAATTGTTGATAAATGCTTACCTTTACTAGAAATATAGTCACTATACCAGAGATATATTTTGCTATTTTATACAGCAAAATGAAGTATGTTAGTAGTTTAGATATAAATCTTAAGTTCTATTTTTATATGATTTTGAACTCTTTAATTGATACAGAGAATAAGGGAAATGGTATATGCTTTTTATATTGTAGAAAACAAAGTTTATTTCTTAAAGTCTCATTCCTTATCTGTAAACTAAGCATGTTTAGTTTACAGATAAATGCCACTTGGTATCTCAGTATTGGGTTGTCCTCATCCAGATGTTCACTGTCTATTAAAGATCTCATCTGTGGTAGCTAACAAGGTCACTTTTTAAAAATATATATATTTTATTGATTTTTTACAGAGAGGAAGGGAGAGGGATAGAGAGCTAGAAACACTGATGAGAAGGAAACATCGACGAGTTGCCTCCTGCACACCCCCTACTGGGGATGTGCCCGCAACCAATGTACATGCCCTTGACCGGAATTGAACCTGGGACCTTTCAGTCCGCAAGCCGATGCTCTATCCACTGAGCCAAACCGGTTTTGGCTAACTGGGTCACTTTACCCATTAACCGACAGGGCGACTATGGCATCATTCTACAGTTTGCTCCGTCTTGAACAGCCTCCTGACAATAATGCCCAACAGGGAAGTCATATGCTTTCCTGGAGGATAGATTAAATTGTGTCAAAAATAGAAACACAGTGACAAAAACTTACATTGCAATGAATTCTGGCCAAATGCATAGTCAGTCCCCTACGACATGGCCCTTAAGACACTAGGTGCAGGCATGGGAGTCCCAGGGCCACCTTCACGTCATACCTGCTTGTTACAAATTCTGCCATCCTCAGGGACTCACTTAGGTTTGGCAATTTACCAAACAGACTCACAGAACTCAGGAAAGCACTATACTTAAGATTATAGTTTTATTGTAACTGGAGGCCAAAAGAGGAGTCACATAATGCAAATCTATGAGGGGCCCAAATGATGAGCTTCTCGTCCTGTCCCTGAAGAGTCATGGATGGTGTTACCTACTCCTGGTTAGTATGTATGACAATGTTGTCAACCAGGGAAGCTCACTTGAGTGTTTGAGAGCC